CTTTAAGGCAGCTGTTAGCAGATTTCAGTACAGTGTGAAAGTCAGTTTGCATATTTGAATATTTGCTTATTGTTTGTCGCCTACAAATTGATTTTCCAACAATGCAACATATAAAAGTAATACTTTATGGCAGCTAACTGTCAAATTTAAGATTTGAGTTACTAACATGAAGTGTTTTTTGAAGTAGTGCCTGCTTTTAACTGCAATACCAAAAGCAATGCAACTTGACCAAAATAGCAAAACTAGAGGCACTGACATGATGGACTGAAGTTTCAATTAATTTCCATAAGAGTCTATAATGAACCGAAACCAATGACTGAGGAAAGAAAATTTAAACAGCAACAATAGGTGATAAAATGGGCAAAAGTAATCTTAAATATAGATGATTTATAGTAAATGGGTTGTAACATGCAAAACCACTGTTGTGGTCCTTTGACTTTACGTCACCAGTCACAATTGATTAGTCAATGATCCTTTGGATTCTGTGAAACATGATTCACACTGCAGACACACTGCCAACACATCACGCCACTGACTTTGCAACAGTGTGTAAACAAAAAGGAGAAAAGCTCACCTTTGAGAATATAGTCTGTTAAGAGACTGGGCACCTTGTCACTGTCGTCTCTCATAGCTTGTAGAACTGCAAGGCAGCAGACACAGAGGAGGAATTGATCAATCACAGCCGTTAAAATTGAAGCACCGTTGCTACAGATGAAGAAACTTACTCTTAGTCAGGATCTGGAGGTCCTCAAGAGAAGGAGGGTGTCCTTTTTTCTCGTAAGGGATAACTGTGGTCAAATACTGTAAACATTGAGGGAAAAAAATTGTACATGCAGATTGAATTGTTCTTTACTTTAACTGCAGATGTAGTTAGGTTTTTTGAAAAGGAAGATAGCTAAGATACAGTTGTTGGATTGGATATTTCTGTGGGATGACGTTGCTAACAAAGTGTCAGTTTTTTAGTGCAGGAGACAAGTGATCAGAGGTCAGCAGCTGAGAGAGAAATACACAGTAACCTGTCTTTCACTGCACCCGCTCCCAAAAGTTTGCCGGAAGCTGTGCTGAATGACAGAGGAGATTCCCTCCATGCTGAAGCGCTAAGGAGGAAGGAAGTAAAGCAGAGAAACATAAGACGATGGGGTGACCAAAGATGGGAAAATAGAAAAAGATCAACAAGAAGATAAGTAAATCCACACACATAACCAGGCTGGTAATTTGTATTGAAAGGATAATGTACTCACAGATCCACCTGCCTTCTCCGTGTGGCCCTGCGACGTCCCAGCTCCGCCTTTCAGCTTCTTCTTCTTCTTCAGCAGCTCCCGGTGCTCCTTCTGTTGGTTTTGTACGTCGATGAGCGTGGAGATGAAGCTGTTCTTCACCTCTTTCTCAAAGTCCAGCTCATCCCTGAGAGCCAGCTGCTGCACCAGCTCCTCTGAGAACCCCCTGATGTTCGTCTCCGCCTCTCCAGACGTTCATTCAGCTCTGCGACAGTCAGGGTCCTCACCCCTGGACCACACACACACACACACACACACACACACAACTGTTGATGATGTTTTTTGTTCCTTCACTCATCAATTACTACACACGGACTGATCAAGGGGCACATTGTAACTTATGACACCATGCTATCATGAATCCCAAAGCTAGTGTATGGACCTTTGAGCTTAAATTAGATTAAATTTGTCACATAGGTAACATTAACTTAGACAGTCAGCTGGTGTGTGATACAAGTAAATAGCGTATTCGTTGGGGTCTGGTATAGAGTTGGTGCTCTATAGCGAGTATTTACAAAGGCTGGACGGTGTGTGTGGGATTGAGTTAAAATAAACTACAGTGCCCACGTTCATGGTAATGAAGGAACATGTCACTCAGTTCAACAGTGTGACTCACTGATGGGTTTTTATTAGTTTTTGGGACAACAATGGGAGCTCAACTGTTATCATGGCACAGAAGAATAAGTTATATCAGGGTTTGGCGACACAGACTACACTTGTTTGTGGCTATCGTTTAATTCTGCTGAACTTGTCCTGAAGCTCACACTGGTCTGAACCACACTTTTTATGGATTGTCAAAGTTGCATAAAGACTTTATGAAGAACATATCATAAGAGAATGCATCATGATTCTGATACTGTAACAGTACCAAAGTACTGTGTATGTAAGATGAACCTTCATCAATGAATCAAAGGAGAACGTATCACAATATGGATACAATTAAATCGCTACTGCAAAGAGATTGCAATATATTGGTTTCTTTGTACTAGAAGCATATCACAAGAGAAAGTATCATTATATATTACTGATTATTTGTCCCACCCCAAGTCCCGATCAGTGGACACTCACTCTTCTCGTAGCTGGGGCTGCTGACGGACCGCCGGCATCCATTGAGAGCATGGAGAGGTCCGACTGAGAGGGATTGTGCTCTGCCTCCCTGTCAGGAGAGTCCTGCATCATCTCCTCTATCTCCTCGATAACCTGCATAGAGCACCAGCACGCACATCAGAGCAGCAGAATTCATAATAACCAAGTGAACATCAGTTATTAAATCTCTGAGGGAAACACAGAGGGATTTTAGCTATGTTCTGCATGAACAGGCTTCACACAGTGTGGCTGCACCCGGGATAGACTCTACTGGAGGTTTACGTTTCTTAGGTTTATCAAAACTTACCTGCTCTGCTGTGAAAAGCGGCTCCTCTGCGAGACAGGAGACAATGATGGAGTGCATGTCCAGCTGCTCCCTCAGCTCTTCATCATCCGACAGCTCCACCGTGACATCAGTCTTCCTCTAGCCAGGAGCAGAACAGGGGGAGGGAATTTAATCAAAGCACTAAACCCTGGCACAACAAATATCTGAGATTTGTGAGATGAATGGAAAAAGAGATTTGACGAGGGAGGCAGGGAGGGAGTGAAGGGGGGCTTGGGTTAAAGGGAAAGTGGGGCAGAGTTGGTATGAAAGGGGTAGGATCACCCACGGGTTTCTCCTCCAGGTAGAACGTGGAGATGTGGAGGGAGCATGTTCGAGACTGTCTCCAGTCCACTGGCATCACGCGCCCATAGTTACTGGTCAAAGCGTTCCAGATCCTGTGGGGAAAGGAGATAAATTAAATCTTAAATCTAAAATAACCCTCAGGAATTTAGGAGAACTCTAATGATGTTGTTGTGGTTATCTCAGCTGGGGTATATACCAGGCAGACGAAGCCTTACATGCCTTATATTTGTAGTTCCACTTCCCCTCGCCCTTGGTATTAAATGACAACTTATATGCCTATGTCGCATGGAGGTGCCTTAGAAAGCAGAGGGAAAGTGGGACGGTATTTAAATGGGACGCACCTGTCATTGTACACATTAGGCTCAAACTATCATGGATTTACTGCCAGTTGTAGGCTGAGCTAGACTGCTGATGGCTGAAGGGAGGGGGTGGGATTTTTTCGGTTAGATACTTTCAAAATCTAGCTGTCTCCTGCTAGTTCTCCAACGTTGTTTTGTTTTTGATGATACATGAAGAATGAACAGGTTATTGAAATTGAATTTTTCTTGTAGATCAACAAGGCTTATCGATTAATCTGACTTTTAGCTCTAAATTATCATCTTACAGGGTAAGCCTATTTGTGCAATAACAATATCCATGACAATAATAAATATAGGACAAATATGGGTGTCCTAACAAATGAAAAAAAAGTGCCACTTTTAAATATCGGCTGTAAAAACAAAAACATGACTTGTCTGTCCACTCATATCAGCCCCTATATCGGTTTTTAAAAGCCATTTAGGGGCAGATACCGATAGTATGCAGATATTAGAGCACCTGTTCAGTTGAATGTGTAAATAACTGAGCTCACATTTCCAGAGTCTGTTATTACACTGGTAAGGCAGACCTCTGCTCTGAGTTTTGATGCCAAAGATGGTGGCAGTGTTTGTGCGTCGCTGTCACCTAAGCCCCATCAGTGTAGCCCTCTCTAACAAGACATGTTGGCTTTCTGATCTGGGAAATTAAATGTCCCACTGTAGATCCAAAAGCCTTTATGTGATTTTCAAAATGCATCCTGCAGCAGTGAGTTGAACCCTCCACACTCACATTATTAAACACAACTAGGCACGCAGACAGGCCACAACCAACAACACTCACCCGTCTTTCTCCAGCAGGGAGTCCTCGGCGATCGCGTTCACAGGAGCGATGCTATCCGTCTTGGCATTAAAATTTCGGAAGCACGCGGATAGCTTCTCGTCAAAATCGTTCACCAGGTCCTCCATGGACCTGAAAGCACCGGTTTCCCCCGGGGAGAAGCTGCTGCTGTGCAGCTCGGGGATGTCATCATTATCATCATCTGTGAGGAACTGCGGAGCTGCCGCTTCCCCTGCGGCGGCGGCTACGCGGCCTTTCTGCGGGTGCAGCCTCTGGTCTGAAACCATGCTCAAATCACCCAAAATCGGCCAGTCGTCGTCGAAATGTGCAATAGGTGCAGCCATCAGCCTAGCAGCATTGGGTTAATAATGGATGTGTTGTGGGACTGGCAGGCCTCAGCATCCTCTCTGAATGCCCGCTCACTTCCCACACAGAGCGAGACTGAGCCGGATAGTATGGCTGCACCGCACCGGGCCCACTAGTGGCTACATATTCACTAAAACAGAAGACTATGACAGCATGGTGACATCTATTTAGATACAATGGGAGTTTGAATATTGATGTACATTTTCAAAAGCATTAAAAAAAAACCATACGGCCTTATTCATTTCATCACTTGGTCCCATTAAAATGTGTTTTTTGTGAGAAAGTCGCTTGTTTTTTTTCTTGCAACAACAACAAATAATAAACAGTCACAGGCTAGCAATACAAAAGCAAAATAGGACAAGTAGGCTAACGTTAGGCTACATAGAGTAGCCTACTACACAAATCAAGAGCTTATGTTGTGTCAGAGGCAGACTGAATACAGCGACCTCTTCCGGATGAACACACCTGTAGTCGTCATTCTGCTACTGCGTTACTAATGGCAACATACTCCAAACAAACTGAAAGAAAGTCGGGAGGTCCCTGTGAACACACCTATAGTCGCAGCAGTTTGAGATATTTAGCTTAACTTGCAGTGTCTAAGCTGTCTCAGGTAAAATGAGCTCACCTTTGTCGATGCTGAAGAAAACGAGGCGCACTCCTTTGCAAACCCCTCTGAATGAGCAGTGGTAGGTGACTCATTGGGAAATCTCTTTAGGCCTACAGGTGCTAACTTCACCGTGAGGAAACATGAACACTAAACTCTCTTTGATCTGCAGGGAAAGACAGAAAGTGCCTTTCAGGAGGAATCTGTTAAAAGGTAGGTTGCTGGTCAAATCTTATACTAAGCATAAAAGGCATAACACTGACAGGTCACTAAAACAGCAGATGTCACCACTCAGTGGTGGAGGAAGTAAGCTTATTCACATCCATTAGTAGGTTACTAACAGGCACTGTAAAAATACTGCATTACAAGCAAAAGACCTGTACTGAAAAAGTATACTATGTATAAATTCAAGTAGGCTATCAAAAGTTGAAGTATATGAAGAAAAATGGATCCTGTGACTGTTATTCTGATATTATATCATAAATGATTGATTATTATTATTATATTATTTTCAACTACTGTTGTAGTTAAGTAAGTAGTTGTAGTAAACTAAAACAATACAGTATTTCCCTCTAAAATGTGGTGGAGTACAAGTATACAGTTGCATGAAAAGATAATACTCAAGTAGAGTACAAGTACCTCAACACTATACATAAATACAGTACTTGAGTAAATGGTTATCACTGTGACAGATTGTTACTATAAATACCAAAATGTTCCCTGTAACAGGTAAACCATGAAAATGTTCTCTTTTTTAACATGTTTTGTGTTTTTGTTTTCAGAAGTTCAGGCAGCGATGGCGGATGATGATGAATCCTCTGATCCAAATCTTCCCCCGACCTCTCACTCATCAGCCAGTCCTGCCTCCACTTCAAAGTCAAAAGCCCCATTAAAGAAAGGTATAAGTTAATACAAAGTTGTTTTTATATTCCAAAGGCAAGTATATGTTATTTTATATAGGCTATTGATAAACTAATTGAAATTTAAACCTTTCTTGAATCTAATCACATTGCAGGTATTGATTTTAAAACGTATCAAAAACTATATTTTTACTTGTGTAAAGGACACCTTTTACGTACTTTAACGCTCTGTTATTCAGGTGCTCCGCCGAGTGACTTTGAGCTAATGTCTGCCATGATTCAGCGGGTGACCCTGCTAGAGAAAACAGTGAAGAGCCAAGCACAAGAGATTGAGCGCAAGGTGAACAACAACACGCACCCCCTCCACAACAGGGAAACTGTGATAACATACATCAAACATGGCAACTCTCACTTTACATTTTCTTCTAAAAGGACAAAAGGATTTCAGTGTTGGAGGAAAAGCTGAGGCTTCTTAAAGAATCAGGTGACATCTACAGACCTGAGATGGACTTTCCCTACATTTATCTAGACTAAAGGGTTTGATTGTGGCAGTATCTTACCGTGTGGATTTGGGTTGTCTCACAGTGTCCAATGTATTAAACCAAACAACATTTCAGAACTTAAATATTATCTTTGAATGCCCATTACACAATTGGTGGGGTGACCTCATAGTCTCAAGCACTGAAAGTAAAGTGTTGCTCCTTTTTTCGATCAGAAAAAGTATTGAGCCATGATTTAAGTGGCAGAGACAGCCTGGAAAGAAGGTGCCAACAACTGGAGAAACAAGTGTGTGAAATGGAGGTAAGTTGATTTAATAACATTTTAGATTAATGTCTTTATATTGTGATTACACCACACTGAAAGCAGCTGCTTATCTTGCAGAGCTTTCTAAATGACTACGGTTTGATGTGGGTGGGAGACGTGGAGAGCAGTGACTCCGCGGAAGTTGAGCAGCCAGGCCTCTGGAATCCAGGTATAGTGTCCATGTACTGTCTTCTTCATAGCCTTCAAGCTTTCCCTAAAAGCATTTATGATATGAAATGATTCCTAACACGGTGGGTATCTTTCACATGCAGACGCCTCTGTTGTCAGGAACTTCCACATGAACTTTGACCTCGTGCTGCAGAGGATCAAGGAGCTGAACGTCCTCGCAGGGGACGGAGAGTGTTTCATAAAGTCCACGGCCACGGGGGCACAGCTGGCGAAAAAGGATACTATTCGACTGAGTCTCTACAGCAACGGGATTGTCATGTTTGATGGTCCTTTCCGCTCTTATCAGGAGCACAGCACCCAGGTTAGCTGACCAAAAAAATGCACAGGAAATTAGGAAATACTTTAAACTGGATTCTTTGGTGGTTCAAGTCCTCTTTTTTTGGGTTGTTGCAGGAGTGCATGCAAGATCTGATGGACGGGTATTTTCCGTCTGAGCTTCAAGAAAGATTTCCAGATGGTGTGCCTTTTGAGGTTTGATTCTGTTTGTCTGCGAGCAAATGTGCAAGCTTACATGTGCGACTGCTACTTATCATCATTTCTTTGTGCAGGTTCATGACAGGCGAGATGAGGAATTTATCTTCAGGCTACCGTGGAATACTTTTCCTGGAGAAGGACAGGCTACATGTGGAGAGAAAGGTGAATCATCAGAACAGTATACTCTCTGTCCTGTAAACAACACAATGATACTCCCGAAAGTCGCACCTGAGGTGGAAATGCTCATTCGCCATTGTCATTCACATGCATCTCTTCTGGTCACAGGCAAGAAGTTAAGCACGAATCAGTTCCTGAAGAGGTTACCAAAGGTGGTAGTAAAGGCTGGCCGTGTTATCGATATCAGGGACTCGCTGAGGGCGACCCTGCAGGTGAGCAGCAAGCCCAGACCTGTTTAGCAGATGATCAATTTTAGTGCACCATCTTGCATGTCTGTGCTGGTGCTGAACGTACACTCACTACAGCCTGCTCATTATCTAACCAAAAACTTTCATTATAGGGTTCATCTGATGCCCAGAGAAGCAACTCAGTGATCCTCATAGACACATCGGCGCTGGAAGACATGAAAGACGGGTAGGCTTGTTCAAAATGTTATCATCCATTAAGTAAGCACAATTTTGTTGCCTAAACTGACATTTCACTGACTTTCATTGATACACAAACTATAAAATGATGCACAGATCTAGAGTATTTCCATTGATCCTGAGAAAATATTGCACTCTGGGTCACTCGGTGTAGGATACAAGATGTACTGTATGTATGATGTCAAATCATTATGTAGCTTTACAACCATGTAGGAGGAAAATCAGTGTTTAGGAATTACTAGATTCAAGAACACACCAATGTACATGATGTGAAAGGCTGATTAAAAAGCTGATGTGGCTGCAGCGGCAGATTGTCAGGATTGTGGAGATTACTGTATGCACTGGTCTGAAAAATAGGGCAGGTCACCATGGACAGCCAGCTTGTGATGGGGTCTAGGATTCAGATCTGACCTCCTAAAAGGAGTCACAGACCAGTCAGAGCTCTCATTATTAGTCTACATCAAGCATGTTTGAATTGTTTGCCTTACAGGCAGCAGACACTCATCCCTGAGTGGCCCTCATCAGCTCGGGATGTTATCACAACACTCAAAGTGAAGTCAGAAGACGGGAATCATACTTACATATTGAAAATGCGCTCCTCAGAAACAATCGGGCACCTGCGGCGGCATCTGGACAAACATAGGTGAGACCACATCTTCCTGGACTGTTTCAGTGTCTTTACAACATGTGACACTGTGCTGCTTGTGTTTCACGTATTACAGAGGCGGTGGTCTACCGGGTTACGACATCATCAGCGCGCACCCACTGTGCTTCTACGACGACAACTGCAAGACGCTCCAATCTTGCGGACTCACGACTAACGCTACTCTGCTGCTGCGAAAGAGGCAACACCCTTCTTCACTGAAGTGAAATAAAGCTTTAAAGTTTATGTATGAGTTGTAAGCGTTTTTTTTTTGTTTTGTTTTTAAATCTGACCTTCTCACAGCAGACATTTAGTCCAGACTGCAGGCCAAAGTGACACAAATCAGATTTTTTTTTTTTGCTCATGTGTGACACAGATCTGATCAGTGTTAACAGCCCAGGTAACGTGGAATCTGACCTTTTCCAGTTCGGATTTGGGCCACTTTGGCCAACTTGTCCCAGTAGAAAAGCACAGGTGTTTACTAATATCATTAACGTTTGCTGTTCATGTGTCCCACTAAACCCTGACAGTGAGCAAGCATGAACAAAAGCAGGACCTTAAAACTGAAGAAGCTGAATGATATTCATCATCTAAATGACTCATTTTTTTAAATCACTTATACCTGTGCTTTTCCATCTGCTATTACAGAAACTCCTCTTGGTGTTACAGAATAGGATGCACTGATAAAATTTTTCTGCTGTCAGACAGTACTTCTGCTGATACAGATTAACAATCCAGTATCAGTACTCACTTGGTTCCAAATTTTAAAACTGTACACCTTGTGTGGAACTCACTGGGATCATTTTTTTTTTATGTTGGGTAAGATGAGGACAGGGATCACTGCGCCTCTGAAAACTGAGCAGGTGGTCCACCGCGATTGATTGAATGTTATGCTACCTGATCTGGCATATTGAATCGATGCATCCAGATATATAGAAAGCTGGTATCCAAGGCTTTCTGCACAGAAGGGATGACAAAACTACAGCTAAAAACAAATCTGAAACAAATTAAACTAAACAAAATGTTGAAAATCTTTATTTCTAAAATATGCAAATACAAACAAGGACAAATGTATGAAAATATAAACATCTTTTTCCCTTTTTCAAAAACACTTGAGATGTTAAGGCATGCAGAGCCAGACTTTCCAAAGATAAACCTTGTGCTACTTGAGTTTTTAAAAAAGGTCCCGTGAACAAAAGAAAATGGCTTGCGTCTCCCTGGGCGTGTTGTTCGGTATAATTTGCATATTTTTATATTAAAATACCTTTCTCTTCCTGTAAAGTGTCACCTTTTTTATGGCTTATCCCACACTCGGGGCAAATATAAAATTCCATCCAGTACAATGTGACTGGAGATTTAGGGGTGATCCAGCCAACCCCTCCCATCACCATCATCACTACCACCATGTGGGATTAAAACATGGCCCTCCTCTTTTTGAAGAAGATGAAAGGTCCTCAATGACTACTGCCAATCTTTAAAACACTACTATCATGTCCCTCTCGACACTAAACCCAGCCCCAACATCTTATATGAAACATGTCAAACCACATGGGAGGAAATTACTAATCTAAAAGCCACTTCATGGGACCTTTACACGTTGTGGAAGCCAGGTTTGCTCAAACACATTAGCACATCTTCGCAGCAACACATTTGGAGGACCCACTGAGTTGTCAATACAAACAAATAAAATTTCACTGAAGATTAATACTGTTTCTCAGTCATACATTTATCAAATAGTTAACCACTCTGTCGAATACGAGTCAGCTATTATCAACCTGAAATGTATAGTATACTGTGAAGCTATTCATCTACATAAGATCACACAGACTGAAGGGTTTCAACTAACTTAAATTTATCTACCAGCAACAAAAAAAAAAAAAACACAGTGTAAGGGGGCCTCCACAAGCTCTGTGATGTGGCCCAATGTTATCTGCTACATTCAGAGTCAGGGAATGTATTGACTATCCTACTGGTTGATACACTCAGCAAAAGGTAATATTGGAAGAGTCAGCTGCAAACAGCCCTTTGTGGTTGGTCTAAAAATGAATTAGCATCGTGGTTGCAAACGTGACAAAAAGGCACATGTTGGTACTCATTCAGAACAAGGCCTGCAGCAGAGAGAAGCGTTCACAAACATTCACAGACTGGCACAACTGCTTTGACAGGTGTTTCTTTGGTAATAAATCTGTTGGAGGCCTGTTGGTGTGAGAAGCTGATTTGGTATTAAACCCTTCAGTTGTCAAGTCTTATACCTCACAGCAGTATGTTACAGTTACTAATGTTACAGCGTTCACCATTTTAAATAATGGCATGTTAGTAACATCTCCTTGCGAATTCAGTTAAAAGCACAGGTTAAAATATTTTCAGTTGATTGTCAACCACTTTCAAATTATTCCCCTAGAGAAGGAAATTAAGATTTAAATAAATTATATATTGTGGGACTTTTACACAAATAGTTATCCACTGGAGTGGAACACAAAGTATAAGACTGTTTGGTAACAGACAGCATCATGTCATTATTAAAAAAAAAAAAAAAAAAAACACACACACACACACACTCAATGCTTAAGTATCAAGTATTAGAGGTAAGTTATTTTCTGTTAGCCCTTGGACTGAAATAGATGAACTCACCGGGGGGTTAGGGGGCTCTGAGCTAGAGGCAGGCGGCTTGAAAAACGACTTACAGTCAGTTGAAAGAAGGAGAAGTTAAACCATTTGGGATTTCCTCTGTCCCCATTTTAAGAAAATTAAAAATCCTCTTTCTGACATTCAGTAACTGAAAGACAAGCCCGTTTTTTGATGCTTCAGGCGGTGAAGTGGGGCTAACGAAAGTTTCTTCCGTTGCCTGGGCGACAAGGTTATTGGGTGATGCAGTTCTCTCCCATGTCCTGTGCGTAACGGTCCAGTATTACATTACGTAGTTCCTCAACGTCTCGGCGGAGCTGCTGCGCTTCAACCAGCTTCTTCTGCAGCACCTCGGGACACATCCAGTCCTCGGCCTGCTCTGCCACTGGCGGGGGTGCTGGAAAGAACAAAACATGACTAATACATGTTGTACAGGTTTACCCCACACTGACTATTTACTTTTTATGTTTTTGAACTTAACTATCATCAACATAAGAGAGAGTAAAATTAAAGTAACTGCTCACATGTGAGACCAAGCAGCAGAGAAAGGTTGGGGTCTTGTCCGTGAGCTCTCTGGGTGAGAATGCTGCACAGGGAGCGCAGGTCACTGAGGCAGGAAGCGATCTCTAGATGCAACCTCTGCGTGAGACGAGCCCCAGCTGGCTGCAGGACAGAGGAGGCCTGGCTGGAGCTTCTCTGCTCTGGATCACTCACTTGCTCCTGCAGGGTCAGATTCTGCTCCATCAGGTCCTGGTTCTGGGCTGACAGCTGAAACAGAGAGTCAGCATCAACGTTACCCGGTCAAAAGTGTCAGGCAATTTCTGACCAGGTTTGTCAGGGAGTGGGCAGGGTTAGTCTGTCTCACCTCCTTCATGGCTGTGTGGAGCTCTAACACATTCTGCTCTTTGGCCAGCACCTCTTCTCTGAGAGCTTGAGAGCTGCTCTCTTCCTGAGATATCTGCTCCTCCAAAGCCTGCAGACACAAACAATTTAATGTCTCACAACTGCCGAGAGACTATAAAACTGAACAGTAGCCAAACAAATCATTGTGAAGAGATAAACACCTGGATCTGAGAGCCAAGCTGTTCCATCATTCGGTGCTGCTTCTCAATGACCTGCAAAGAGACGAGCTTTAAAACGATACATAATGCAATGATCAACTCCTACTCCTTTTGTATTTTTAGCACTCTTTCTCCTCGCTGTTCTATTGGACTGGGAGGTTGTGACCTAAGCTTCATGGTGTTTATGACCGGAAGTGTTTACTTTGCAGGTGAAGCACACAGCAGTACAGAAAGCATGGTAAACATTACAGGAAAAAAAAAAAAAAAAAAAAAAAAAGAAGAAGCCACGCGCTAAAAACTTTGATGGACAGATTGCTGCTACACGCTTTAACCACAACATACAGGAACTTACTTCCAGAGAAATGAACACTTCTCTGAACCTATGGTTCAAACTTAACCCACACTTCCTCTAAGCTCACTCAGTCAGATCAACTTTCTGAAGCTGAAGTCATTTGGGGTTGAAGCATATAAACAATAAAACTACAATTAGATTGCATAGAATACAGTTTATGCATTCAAATATGTGACTGCATGAATAAAAGCAGCCCGAGGAGTACTCATACAAAAGCTGTCCCCAAAGTATTTCAAGTACCCAGATGAGCCTTTAAAGAGAAAACACACAATAGATAAACCATAACAGACCTTTTTGAGTCTCTGCTGCTCCTCCCTCAAAGCACTGTTCTCTCCTCTGAGCCTCTCCACATCCAGGGAGGGCAGCCTGGCTCCATCCTCCAGACCCTGCTGTACGCGCTGCTGCATACTGATGAAGACAGATTACGCAGAGTTATTAAGGTTTGAATTAATGCCCACTGAGAAGACGGTACTTTGTTGTCAGACCCGAGTGTGCACATACTCAGTAATGGTGGTCAGCAGGTCTCTCTCCTTGCGTTTCTGATCTTCCAGCTGTGTGTCTTTTTCCCGCAGTTGAGAGCGTGTCGTCTCTAGGCAGACCTCCAGCTCTTGTGCTTTCTCTTGGAGCTGACTCACCTGCTGTTCAGCCTCCAGAAGCTGGTGAAAAAGACAAACATGTGTCCAGGTTGAAGGATTTACACATTTTGACCCAAGTAAAATCAGAGGAACTCAAGCAGAACGGCCCTAACCTGCTTGTTTTGGCTCTGGTAGTCCTCCAAGGTGGGCAGGTCAGCAAGATAGCGCTCCAGAGTCTCAATACGCTGCTGGTTCTCCCTCTTCAGCTCCGACTCCTTCTGACACTTCTTCTTCAGGTTGTTGATGTGCTTGTCTCGACTGCGGATCTGCACAAAAAGGGAAATGTGGTATGGTAAGGTATGGTATGTGGTAAGAGGGATAATATGCTCAACAAGTAATAAGGTGCCATACATATTCGTAAATCACAGCAAGTGAGAAAAGAGAAAGCAAAATGTTCCTACAAACATCATCAAATGTTCCTTCATCTTTCTCTATGAAAATTAACTTGTTAAGGATTCACAGTGACTTTATCTCCGCTTTTCTGTACAGTGTTGTGTTTCTATAATATCAGCTGTCTGGAACTGTTGTGATAGGAAGCAGGAAACAGCTTCTCTTCATTACTGGGCAAAGTAC